TTGCTTTTGTAATTTATATGGATCTACTTAAGCAATAAGCATATTAGTTTTGATTTAAAATTGTACGCCTTTAATTTTGTAAATAATTTAAACATTTTATTTATTTATTTTGTAAAATACAAAATAGGCAATAAGATACATACAAGTTTTGTAATGTATAATAATAATAATCTTTTTGACTAAATAATCGATACAATTAATTTCCACACCAGTGATTCTTATAATACTTTTCATTAATATTAATTTATCATCAGAGCGCTTAGTGTAAGTTTTTATGACGTTTACGTTCACTGTCGATCGTGAGCGCGTTAAGATTTTAGTATGGAATCCGGTACAGCGCCCCTAGCGGTAACTACCAAGAACTACAAATCTCCATACAAATTCTTAACGCGCTCACTAGTGAACGCGTTAGCGTAAAACTTACACTTACCACTCTGTTGCTGAACTTCGTTGATACCTGTACTTCAGCATACAGCGCGTCTGTCCTCAGAAAATATGTAATAAAAATAAAAATAAAATAAGTCACACTAAATAGATCTGAACAATCAGAAATAATCAATTTGTTAATAATAATATTTGTTAATAATCAAAAAGCTAGTAATAAAAAAAAAATATAAAACAAAAACGCCGCCAGCACAGTTAGTAATAATCGCATCACAATAGAATATCAACGGCTTGAATTTTACCATTGTACTATATATTTAAATTCGAATATTATTAGTCCAATGTCTTCCTTACACATCAATAGCGACAGTTATATAATAATATTGGACTTCAGGTAGGCAAAATGTAAAAGGTTGAAATTCTCTTGAGATGAGATTATTACGTAACGATTAGCCGAATTGGTCTACAGTACTATTCGGTCCGAGTGTCCTTAATAATATACCGATCTGTTCAACATTTCTTTATTTTGTTATTGTCTTTTATCAAGTGAGTTAAACATAACGTTCTTACACCTATGACTATTTTTAGGATTCCGTATCCAAAGGGTAAAACGTGAACACTATTTTTTAGACTTCCATGTCTGTCTGTCTATCACCAGGCTTTAAGTCATGAACAATGTATTTCTTTTGCCGTTTCAAAAAAAAATACCAGAAAATGTTAATATTTAACGTGACTTATTTTTGCTCGATATTGATAACGACAACAGACAACATATGCAAATATTTTATACATTTATACTTAAATATTTTATATTATAATATTTTAACTTAAAAAATGAAAAATGAAATTCAAATTAAACATGTTATTTAAGGGGGCAACAGCAAACTTACAGCAAACGTGATTTTTTCTCTGGAACCCTTAGTGCGCAAGTCCGTTTAGGATTTGGCCGCTTTTATGACTACGGTTAAATCCTGTTATCTATTGTGGAATAGAAAATCCCCGTCGGTGTTTATTTTTAGAATGATTGATAAATGTTAGGTAAATGCATATATATATGTATACCTATATATATGTTGGATTGTTATATGAATGTGTTTTTTATTGCTAATAGCCTTCTCTCCCAGTTAAACTTTGGAAAAAACGACTTGGCGATATTGAGCAGTAAAGGTGGGTAAGTAAATTAAAACTTATTTATTTTAGACGTACTTGTAAAATTCATGCCTCAATTCACTCAAACTCAGAATCGAAACTCGCCGGTTCTACCATATGCTAACAACGCATTCCTTATATTTCAGCCACACAATGCACAGAAGTTTGGAAAGCAGTTGATTGTTTGTGGAACCATTGAAAATAAGTGATCGTCGTTAACTAACAAAATGGAGCGATTAAGTGTACTTAAGTCTCATTCAAATACTACACAGCGCTGGATAAAAACCAGTAGCGACAGATCTTTTGTTCCAGATACAGCTCTGACTGATGTGAACATGATACCAAAACCTAATACACAGAAAACCAGACCTATTTAAGAAAATACTCTAGGGTTGCCATCTCTAACTTTATAAAACTAAGATTTAAAGTTAGAAACCAGGACAATTCAGCTTAAAAGAGACAGGAGAGAAAAAATATTTAGAATTTCGTTAATTATCAAATCTCTATTGTTTTATAAAAAAAATAATTTCATCATGTCGTTTTAAGCCAACTTAAAAACCTTGCTTGCTTAAAAACTATCCTGGAAAAACAGAACGGTTGATAACCCTGCAGTAACTAGACTCCTGTTGCAATATTCTAAGGTATATTGGTCACAGGCATCGAATATGTATACCTACTTACATCTACAATATTTATTTCCACTCTCTTTACGGGATTCACACCCAAGAAATATAAATATAGTCAACATTAAAAATAAAGGAAAATCATAAAATTGCAAAAATATCTTACATGGATTTTTAAATTACTGAGAACTTGAACAAAGAAAGCAAATTCATGTTTCAGTATAAAACTATCCTCGAGGCCGTGGGAAATAGAAATGTTTGTTTTAATGAACAATGGACTTTAAATATCTGGGAATAGCACATAAAAGAGTCACATATTATATTTGATGTTCAAATTTATTATGTACCCAACCCTGGTACATAATACGTGAAACAAACATAAAACGAACTCTTTTGAAGAACTTTAGTCTAAATATTGTGGACTTGGTGCACACTATGCTTCCAAACCCGACTTAATACGCAAAAATCGATGCCGACAGCTATTTGTTGTTATTTTAACATAATTTGGTACGGAATTAAAATACCCTATATGATACTTTTGTATACATGAAAAAGGCACGAAAAGATTACTATCCATTGTATAATTGTTACTGTTTTTCTTACTGTCATACCAGTGCGGTGTACTGCATAGCGAACGCCTAACTCTAAATTCTAGCACTAGGATACGATATCATACATAACGATATTTCGTTTCATGTTATCCTTTATCGTCTGGCTGTCATTATTTCATTACTAAAGTACATATGAAAGTAGTAAAATAAAACGAAATCTCGCCATCAATAAGATGTCGTATTCTATGGCTAGCATCGTGGCTATGAGTTAGGTGGTCGCACCCCTGATGACCCAATTATCAAAGTGCAACAAAACTAAATGTAATTAAAAATACATTCATTTTGTTCAACTATTGATTATGTTTAGGTTTGTTTTGATGACTATAATATGTTGAACTTATTATTTCCTATGTAAATTAGTAGAAGATAATTTTGATATGCACCTAATATAATTTTAAAGTGTAAATTATATAACATATATTATTATCGTCCTGTCTGAAATTTCCAGAATAACTTTTTAATTTTCTATTCTTTTTAAATTGCAATTAATATTATGAAAAAGATAACAACCAAAATAAGCCAAGAGAAGGAAATCTATACTAATATTATAACGAGGTAAAGGTTCTATCTTTGTCTGTTTGTAGGGGTAGATAAACTTTAAAAATACTGATCCGATCATGAATATCTTTCACCTACGGGAAGCTACTGGGTAAAGATGGGGAAAGCAGTAACCTACTTAAAAATATATAAATGCCTAATTCTAACTTTAGTTGTTTTTATTACAGCCGTATTGGCTACCTCATACAAGAGTGCATTGTACAGAGAAATATATTTTCGCAATAAAAAATTCTTATTTCCTGAATATAATAAATCTCGTCACGTTTTCTCAGTCGACTGTAAACAATAAAACAGAAACAACTTCCGTTGAAAATAAATATTACAGCAATAAAATTAAATATCACTATCCATAAAAATTAATCATTAGGTATTATGAAAAAAGTTTCAAGCCATTATTCATCTTAAAAGTTTCTAGCAGCAACTTATTAATATTTGATTAATAAAAAAACAGGATCAAGAATAGTCTAAAATAGAATCATATTAATATAACTTAGCCAAAATAATTATTAATTTCACAGCAAAAAAGAGGTTATTTATCAAATATTTTAGACAGTATTTTAATGGTAAGTTTTTACGTTACACCTAAATGATTTTATAATTAATTTATATAGTTAGATTAAAAGATAACGGAGACGTAAAAGTACTTACTTTGTATGAAAGAAATACCAATGTCTTGCGTGTGCAATTTATTGCAATTTATCGATCAAACGATCTACTTAATGCGTCACATTATTTGCGGAACCGTTTTGTTATCAGTCAAATAGATTATGTGGCAAGTGTTGGAGGTCAAGGCACGCGCGATAGCTGTCACCGATTTTAAACACACATTAGTACAAAATGCCATCAACAAGTTTTGTCCAATTAGAATTGTCTAGCCTGTATGCGTGGTATTCTTAAGTTATTTTAATTTAAAAATATTAATTTCTTTGATGACTAATAGTAATGTTACTCAACAAGAGATGTCGATATAAAAATAAATGAAACACGAAATATTATCACTATCTAGAAGATACACATAAAAAGAAGAAAAGACACATTATTTCAATCAATATAGATTAAATGTAATCTAGACATGTAGATTTCACAATAAATACGTCACTGATAAATCCAATAAGATAACAGTGTCGCGATATTTTTTTCTAGATATTTATAAATATTTCTGAGAGTGATTACCTACTCACAGTTGACTTATAAATTATGTTGATAAGCATTAAACATATATTTGATCGTTTTACGTAAAACTTTTTCAATTAAAATAAAATATTACATTATTAAATACTGTAAGAGTAAACAATATATAACATTGTTTTGCTAATATCAATTTTTAATCTCATTCATTACATTTTTGTTTATGAAAAAACAAACAACTTTGAATTTTTTTTAAGATAATAATAATAATGATGAAAATAAACCACGTCGCATAACTTATACACTATTATAGACCACCCGCCATTATAATTAACTATTTAATTATGAGCCATAATTTTATCATTTAGAAACAAAACAACTTGATTGATTCGAATGACATAAACTTATTTAACTAATGCATTGTTGGAGTTGGAATTGAAATTTTATCAATACTTGATTGCAATTATTGAAAGGCAAACATGATTTATGATATGATATTTGAAATATTTCTAACAGAAAAGTTAGGATAAGTATTATGAAGCAAAATTGAACGATGATATAAAAAAGGCACTCACCAAAAAATTTTAACCGCAGGCACTGTTCAGCCAAAAAAGCTTTGAATCATTTTTCATAAACAGTTTTTATAATGAAACCGATCACAATCCAAAACTTTTTGGAATACACTACACTAGCACGTTAACACAGAAAAAAATATTTTGTTTTAATAAATCAAACACTATCCGTTACGAAGTTTAATTTTCGAACGTTCGATCGTCAAATCTCTTCAATGGGTAGCGCGTTCGTGCCGCACGTAATGCAATCGAGAACTGGCGGGACCGGCCGCCGACTGGGCTCCAGAGTCTATCGAGAATTAAAAAATTGGAGGTACACACGTACCGAGCAACCGGCGAGGGCGGTGTTTGACAACGGATGTTAATGTTTATTAACATAACCTAATACAATGGTAAAGAAAAAAATTAGATCATGACCTGTTGATAAAGTTGTCTACGTACGAAGATAAGTTTAGAAAAAAAGGAAGCAGTATGCAGCATTTTTTATAAAACACATAAAAAATATTAAAGTACTATAATATAATATAATTATGTAGTAAATGCAAATAATCACTTAAATGAGTAATTACAATTTTATTATTGTCTGTTAGTTTTTGAACTTTTGATGACGCTACTAGCCCATAGATGTCGTTTTACACATACTGCAACTACGCGACGCTAGATGGCCTAAGTTAACGATGTCGCAGTATTCAACTACTGCGAGTAAAGTTTCTATGCCTGATATTCGTATCAGGCATAGAAACTTTCGATAGAGATAAGCAATATCATGCCATAAACAATACTACTCCTATCTAAAGCTTAACTAAAACAACATTACATAGACTCGTTTAGTATATGTAATGTGGTTTAGCTAAGCTTTGGATCTAACCATTTTAAACAGAAAATCATCTCATAAAGCCTAAAAAATAACATCAAAATCGACATACAAAGCTTATAATTTATACTAATATTTTAATGAAGAAAGAAAAATGTAGAAAAGATTTGATTTCCTTTTAAATGTTATTTAAATTATTATTAAAATTAATCGATTGTGAATTTCATTGATATTTTTATGAAGGTATTTTATTTATGATGTATTCAATTATCTACTGTTTTAATGACATTTAATCTTTATTTATTTAATCTTGATTGCCTAGTGAAATAGACAAATGGCGGACTTAATGCCAAAGAGGCATTCTCTAGCAGTCAACCAGTAAATTTAGTACAATACTTAAAGTGGCGATACATAAAATACATACAAATATTATAAACATACATACACATACATAAATAAATGCATATATATATAGCTATAACACAAAGTAAGTAAAAGGTGTCAGATCAAGAAATCTTGTTTGAAGCATAATAGAAGTTGCGAGCTGCTGTCTTGAATGCAAATTTGTTAGGAGCATTCCGGACGTTCAAAGGCAGTGCCAGTTCCAAAGACGGATGGCGGTTAGAGTGAAGGAATGAGATACAAAACAAGAATGATGAGAAGGGGTGTGGAGTACCAGTCTATTTACTAGAACGAAGATTTTTCAGATGAGAGGCACCGAGGATTTCAAACCGCGATTTTAAATACTCAGGTGCTCGTGGATCGAAAAGTATCTGGAAAAGTATGCAAACAATCCTTAAGCACCTACGCATCCGAATAGGAAGCCACTTAAGATGTTGACGAAAATTGGAGATGTGGTCATATTTGCGCAGACCGAAAACAAAACGAATAGTATTGTTCAGAAGACGATCCAATATATTAAGAAACTTTTGATTGATATCAGAAGTACAAACATCAGCATAGTCGAAAAGGGGATGTACAAGAGTTTGGACGAGAGCAGACTTAGTACGGGGAGGGAGAAAGTTCTTAAGTCGATAAAGCGAGCTGAGGGTGCGATGGATTTTACTGCAGACGTTGTCCATCTGATCATCCCAGTGCAAAGTACTGTCAAGAACAAGCCCAAGATTTTTTACCTTAGCAGCATAAGGAATCACCGAGCCAGCATAGGTAACAGCTGGAATTGTGTCGAGGTTAGTTTGCGATATTTGTCGGGAGCTACCGATAATAATGGCCTGACATTTGTTGGGATTGACAGAAATACCGAAGTTATTCGACCATTCAAATATCCGCGCAAGATTTTGGTTCAGTGTACATATGGCTCTATTAAGGTTGTGAATGTCATCCTGAGCATATATCTGCAGGTCATCGGCGTACAGGTGATAAGAGGTTGTAAGAACCTGTAAGAGTTAAGGGAGTTAATAAAAATTGAAAAGAGAAGAGGAGAGAGCACACCGCCTTGAGGGGGTGTCCCTCAAGGCGGTGTGCTACACCAGCAAACGAGTTACACCAGTTTGAAACTGAATTACCCACTCGTACTGCCTGCTGGCGTCCATGAAGATAAGAGGAGAACCAAGCGAGCACGGATGAAGAACAGCCAAGCTGAGAGAGAAGAGCAAGGAGGATATCGTAATCAACTGTGTTAAAAGCGTTAGAAAAATCAAGTAAAACTAACACAGTTAAACGAGAGTTTTCCATACCGTCACGAATGTCGTCAACGATTTTAATAAGGGCAGTGGAAGTGCTATGACCCGGGCGGAATCCTGATTGGAAAGGGGAAATTTATTGTAGTACTTTTGCAAGGTTTGTGCAAATTGTTCAAGGCATGTAAGACCTTGTACCCAATACAAGAAAAGCAAATAAATAAGCTCTACATCCAGATATTTAGTTTTTTCTATGACTACGTAATGCGTCTATCCGCAGTGCTGTGTATCTTATATTCTTATACATATATTTATGGTTTATTGCATAATTAAAAAATATGTACAAATAGCAGACTTAATGCCTTAAGGCATTTTCTACTCGCCAACCGGAGAGTTATGGACATATATTTTATAAAGAGCAGTGCAACAAACAGAAAATTCAAATTATGTTTAAAAAAAGTAAAACATTTATACTAATACAATTATATACAAATCACATATAAGTTATATACGGTTTTGGTGCGGCGGCCGTCTGAATACAGTATGTATGTTTTATGAAGCCAAATAAAATCTCACCTTGCAGAGCGATTCTGTAAGTATTCGAATTCGATAACGGATTCACCCTGGTGATCGAACTCACTTCGAAAGTGAATCCACTTAACTTTGAAATTATATTCTCTATACGTTTCATGGCATAAGTGATGTGAGTATAAAAATTACATAGGATGGGAATTCTGAGATATGTATGAATCTGTTACGGACGCACGTCTCGTTAAATTAATATTAAGTTTGTTTGATGTAAATTATATAGAAAATAGTTTGAGTTATGTTTGTATGTAAAATTAAATCATACCACCACAGATTATTTTTATTCCGAAAGTATAAGTGTAGTTTAAATTAATAGAATAAGTTTTAATTTCCTAGTATTCTATGATATAGTAACAAAGGGTGAATGGCTCTCTGTCGATAGGGTTCTCTGTTAGTATTTCGTAGTGGTACGACTCGAGTAGGATTTTGTGACTCGAGTCACTCGAACCAATTAACAACCTCACTCGAGTCATACACGAGATTTCTAGTGACTCGAGTGAAAAAAATTCAATCCTGCTTCTCTATTGGATTTCTCTTAGTAATTTTAAACAAATAAAATACACATGAAACGAGTTTTAACAAGTTATTTATTTAAGTAATAAAAAAAATAAAAAAGCGGCATAGATTAATAAATAAAGAGTAGTGAAGTAACATTTAGTGGTAAGAGAATCAACTCGTTGTGCCGAGTTGTCTCAGTAATTTGAGTGCATAGAGACTCAAGTGATATTTTTAACTCGAGTCGATTATCGAGTGACTCGAGTAAAAACAGGACTTGAGTCGCTTCACTAGTGTTACGTCGCTAGGGGGAGGAAGGGGATAGCTATGTAAAGTAGAGGATAAATGTATAATTTGATTATGAACTGTTTATGTAAGTAGCTAAGTGCGAGCCACCCCAACTGAATCTAAAAAGTGTTTGTTGAGCGATATATTGTAAGCTCTCCGGACCTCAAGATTAGAATAGGAAATAAAGAAGAAGTAATGACTATCGAAGAAGTTTTATTATACAGTACAGGATGACTACGTGTTATTCTGCTCAATATCAGGAAGATACTCAACAGAATCAATAAAACTTATTTTGTAGTATTATACAATAAACGGTATCAGATGAATATAATATACTTATTAAGTATTTTGTTATACCTTATTCATTATTTAATCTTGAAAAAAAAAAAACATCGAATAAAAGGAATTTTGTCATGATTTGAGGCCAAATAGTCATAGAGCCAATACCATTTAAGATGAAATTAAGAAAATATTGGCAAGGTTAATTAACGTAAAAATTACACCAATCGTAGTTCAATTCACACCGCGTTCGACAGACAGTGGCGTATTCGAGTTATACAGAATTCGAAAGTTCAATTTCACTGCGGATAAAATTTTCCTATTTTCGAAATGCCTTTACTGAATCACACTTTGTCCTGTGGACTGCGGACTGCGGCCAAGTTAATCCGATTGCGGTAGAATGTTAGTTGCCAAATTGATTTGATTTGAAAACAAATATTTTTTCAAACTGCCAGTTTAGGATAGTAATTAGTCCTAGATCCTTTTAAGCGGTTTCATCGCGTCTGTATTTAGTTTTAATGACGTTTTGAAACCTGTAAAGGGTAATAATTTTTTAGACAACAAATTAAAGTTGAAGAAAATTATATTAAAAATACATAATTGAAGAAATTAAATTTTATATCGGTAAAAGCTTACGTAAAAACAATTAAACGTGATATGTTTACCTTCAAAATAATACTATAGGACACATTCACAATATAAAAAAATATATATATGGATACGTCTACATTAATTAAATTAAATTATTTTAAAAATTAATTTGACTTATTTATTTGAGCCCTGGGTACCGTAAACTAGTTTCAAATTTTGTCTGACAAAAACTGGCAAAACAAACTTCGGCAAAAAAGGAGAATTGCTCTCATTGATTTAATATGTACAGGATTTATTATTTAATTTAATACGTAATTCATTACTCGTATTGTCTTAATATTTTTAATTATGTTACACTTTATATAAGAATTCTTAGTAAAATAATTTTATAAATGTTCTGCACGAATTTCGCGGAACTGGTCTTCATCACGGCCGACCGCTTAGGCTTGAAATACCAATACGTAATAAAAAAAAAGACAAGCACTCTTTACACATCGATATAAAGTTGAAACTGGAATACATTTTTAACTATTATTATTGAATTTTTACATCTTCCTCTCGAAAACCTTGATCGCTTTTTAAAGCGGCATATAGTTGAAAATGTACCTTCGTGATTACGATATAATAATTTGTTAT